GTGACAGCACGGGTAATGCAGCTGTTATTGGGGACGATAATAGGATAGTGAATTAATTACTATATTGGCAGTTTCAGTAAGGTTAACATCATCATGAGAACAGTCACGTAACACTACTAACATTGCTAGACGAGGAGTTCTCCTTCTCATCCTCGACGGTAGAGGACTTGGGCATCTTAGACCGCAACCCATCGACCTCCTCCGACCCGGTCACTGCCTCACTAGCCTGCTCACGGCTACGTTTAGAGGGATGTCCAGCAGGGTGGTTCTTGGAGGGCTCACTGACTCCTGCAGCCGCGTCAGCTGTCGGATGATGACACAGCACCAGTTTAGACTTGGGTAGACGTCCTGAGTATCATACACATTACTACCGGCAGGAGAATCTCTATAACTCACTTTTCCGTGTAACGGATGGCCCAGACTTAGATCTCGCCGCAGTGCTAATGCCCGCTGACTGGAGAGCTAATGGTGCAATCGGGCTTGTATCGGTCTCCCGCCTCCTGGTACGATGGTGGGGTGGATCCTGAGGTTAGGTATTCGTGAGTTATATTCACATCAAAAACGGCTCTACCTTAATGATAGTCGTCGGTGGCGTAGAAGAAGTATGCTGAGACGGAGATGGGCTGTTTATAACGGCTTCTGGTACAGGTTCCACAAAGCTAGGTAGGAGGGATAGTGTATCCTGAGTACTGTGGACGGCAGGATCCTCCATATCCAATACCCATATATCTAACAGTAAAGATAATAGCCGGGGTCAATAGGATAAGGAGAAGGAGTAGTACTCTCATAGCCAGGGCATGGCGAACCATCAAGGCCAGAGTACGCTTTCAATGTGATGTATCTGATTACGATAGTCCGACAGTTTATCCTCTTTTTCTTCCTGCTGTTGCTGTTGCTATTAGTACCCAACCTTGTTGTCTTCATACCTGGTCTCATACGAGACCTGTCTCTTGAGTATCTGCTTGGGGAAGTCCTCACCCCCATGAAGGGCCTTCTCAGTCTCATACTCTCTAATGGCACGCTCGTACCTGAGTGATTCACATACTATACCTCTGAGTAGGGTGAGTATTACGCATCAACACTGAGGTTGGCCATCCTCTTGGGGCCTCTCTCACCACTATCAAACATAACCTGAGTAGTCTGCCTAGTTGAAGGTCCCTCGCCCAGGCCTACTGTCTCTTCAGATGACTCCATCTTGCTTCTGTCTTCAGAGGAGTCTC